TTTTTTTTTTTTTTTTTGGTTCGTCCATTATTGAAATATCAAAAAAAAAGTTCGTTCACCTTTAGAATTCTTGATCAATAATTCCAGCTGTATGAATTTGTAATGGTTAATGATCAAGAATTCTAAAAGTTCGTTCACCTTTAGAATTCTTGATCATTAACCATTACAAATTCATACAGCTGGAATTATTGATTGTCCACTACCGGTATATTCAAAGATGCTTTGGCTTGATGACTGCGACACTCTTATTGCATAAGTGTGCACACGTTGACGGGACATGTCTGAAATGGCCATCAATTCTGAACACTACGTCATTAACCCTTTTGTTTAAACCTTTTTGTCCTGGGGCTCCTACAATTTTTCTTTAGGTCACTCTTGCACCCCCCCCCCTTTTTTTTCTTTTTTTTCGAGCCCAAAGCACGTGGAGGATGAGAGTGATGCATTGAACAACCAATTTTAAAAACGCGATGCTTTCACTTTCACTAAAAACTAAAAGGAGATATGACTGATAGACATGAATGACCCAGGCAAATACGTGTGGTGGTACTGCATGCAGCGAGTTACTAAACCAAAATACGAGTCGCATTAATCCACGGATTAGGAGATTATAATCACTACATTGGGAACCGCTGTGTTAAATCGCTGTGAAGATTAAATCCGAACTCATTGCCAAAACAACTAGACAAAACTAACGCAGCTAAAACAGACACCAGGCTGCCACCTTCCATCACGCTTTGTATAGTAGAGGCTACCAGCTTCCATTAAGTTATGTATGGGCTACCAGCTTCCATTAAGTTATGCATAGGCTACCAGCTTCCAGTAATTTATGTATGGGCTACCAGCTTCCATTAAGTTATGTATAGGCTACCAGCTTCCAATAACTTATGTATAGGCTACCAGCTTCCAATAACTTATGTATAGGCTACCAGCTTCCATTAAGTTATGTATAGGCTACCAGCTTCCATTAAGTTATGTATAGGCTACCAGCTTCCATTAAGTTATGTATAGGCTACCAGCTTCCATTAACTTATGTATAGGCTACCAGCTTCCATTAAGTTATGCATAGGCTACCAGCTTCCAATAAGTTAGGTATGGGCTACCAGCTTCCATTAAGTTATGCATAGGCTACCAGCTTCCAATAAGTTATGTATGGGCTACCAGCTTCCATTAAGTTATGTATAGGCTACTAGCTTCCAGTAAGTTATCTATGGGCTAACAGCTTCCAGTAAGTTATGCATGGGCTACCAGTAAGTTATGTACAGGATACTAGCTTCCAGTAAGTTATGTATGGGCTACCAGTGTACCAGCTTGTATCACGTTATGCATAGATGAGATGAGATAACGCAACGAAACCGTGGCTTTGATGAAAGAATACAACCTGCACCGTCATCATCAGAGCAAACATCAGGAAAAATGTCCACAGTTTGAGGTTAAAGTCCATGGCGAAAATTTCTCTCATTTACAAAATCAATTCACATCTCAGAGGACATTGTTAAAAAAATCCTCAAATGAAAATGAATCCTTAACTAAGTCCCGTTATAAAGTTGCCTACGTCCTGGCTTAAAGTGGCAAACTGTAAACAAATGGTGAAGTAATGTTTGTTGTTTGTGGCTGAGGAACTTTGCCCAGAAAAGTCAAAACAATTTAAAAATGTAGCTCAGGGTGAAAGTAACACTGCCCGCCGTGTTGCAGACATGGGTGAAAACATTGTGACTCAAATAGCGAAAAATTCAAGCAAGTTTCGCCATTTTTCAATTGCAATGTATGAATCGCTGGACAGCTGTTCCACCTATCAACTGCTTGTGTTCATTAGAGGTGTGGATGAAGACACGAACATAACACAAGAGCTGACTTCCCTCATAGCATGTACGGCACTGTTTCCGTAGAGGATATATTCAATGAGTTGAAAAAGAAAATGTGCTGATTATAACTTGGACTGGACTAACCTCAGTTGCCTGACTGTTGATGGAGGAAAGAACATGAGTGGCATAAAGAAAGGCTTGGTTGGACAAGTGAAGCAGATGTGTAATGAGAACAGCATTCTACAACCAATGTTCCTGCACTGTATTTTTCACCAGCAAGCTTTGTGTGCTAAATATATGAACATCATCAGTGTACTGAATCCTGTGGTGAAGATGGAGAATTGAAAAAGGTCGCAGGGGCTCACCATAGACAGTTCAGAGACAAATTGAAGAAAACAGGCACGGAATCGCAAGATTTACCATATTACACAGCAGTAAGATGGCTAAGTTGTGAGAAAGTTCTAAGTAGAGCATTTAAGTTAAGAAAGAAAATAGGTGACTTCCTGGAAAGTAGAGGCAAGCCACAGCCATTACTATCTGATGAAGAGTGGGTATGGAAATTGGTCTTTGCTGCAGACATAACTAGCCATTTACATATTCTGAACCTAAAACTATAAGGAGCGGACAATCTAGTTTCTGATCTAAACACCCACCAAAAGGCCTTCTGATCCAAACTTGCCTTGTTTTTGGAACAAGTATGGGCCAACAACTTGAAGCACTTTCAGCAGTGCAATGTCTTCATGGCTGAAGCAAAAGCTCCCCATATCATTTGCATGTGAGATCATCAAAGATCTCCAGCTGCAGTTTCAGCAGCATTTTATGACTTGGCTTCAAAGGCAGAAAAAATTAGACTGTTTGAAAACCCATTTGAAGTAGATGTGGCCAGTTGCCCAGATGAACTGCAGCTGGAGGTCATTGAGTTGCAGGGAAATGACCTCCTTAGGCAAAGTTCAAAGAAGGGCTGTTGGGTTTTTACCAGTTTTCGGCCAAGGAAGACTTTCCTAAAGTCAAAACTTTGGCATCAAGGTACCCTTCAATCTTTGAAACAACATACCTGTGTGAACAAACATTTTCAAGAATGAAATATGCAACAAACAATTGGAGAATAAACGTGTCGAATGATAATCTCAGGTCACTGTTGATGTTAGGGACATCAAATCTAAAGCCAGAAACGTCTGCTATTTTGGCATCCAGGAAACAATTTCACCATTCCCACTAATACAGATGTTCATGTGTCGTGTATCAATGTGTTACCGGTATTAAATAATGACTAAATAAAATAATATTAAATAAATAATTAAAAACAACATCCATGTTTTGATTCTTTTTTATTGGGACCTCGAGTGCGTAGTCGGGCCCTGAAATACTGTTTGATAATTAATGCAGCCCTCGGGCTGAAAAGTTTGGAGACCCCTGGACTAGATGACGCTGTTCAACCTTATTATTAATATTATTACCTCCATTTAGGCTCATTTAATTGTTCAGCCAACATTTCCAGCATGCATCCAGTCTCCTGGTGTTGAAATATTAAAATAGTTGATGGAGAGCTAAGTGCAGTCAGTTCCTGACCAATACTGTTTTGATTGGTTGGTATGGTTGATATACACTGTATTGATATGGTTGGTATGGATAATATAGAAAATGCATGTCATATTTTAAGTGAATATCAACTGTGTCAAACACAAACAAAAAATGTGTCCCTTCATTTTCATTAATATTGTAATGACAGTACTGAACAAAAGCTGCTAACAGAACTGAAAACAAAGGTTGTAATGAATAAACTGTCAGTTTTATTGAACCAAAAACTATGTCAAAACTATGTTAAATAATTGATCTAAGCTTAAACTCAATGAATTATGGGAATGATGAATAAAAAATGTAATTTATGCATATACATTCTGTATATCTTATTACAAACAATTTTAAAATCTGGCAACAACACCTTTAAACTTAATGTAAATTAAATTAAAATCCATAAATTTCTAAAAGCTTAATGTATAAATTGGCTGCCCTTGTCAAAAAATTGATTTGACATTAAACAACAGATCCTGTGTTGTATAGCATGCTCATTGAAGAAAGGTGATTTGAAACTCAAATTATTCATCTTGATTTGACATTGAACTGATCCTGTGTTGTATAGAATGCTCATTGAAGAATGGTGAGTTTCAACTGACTCAAATTTTTCATCTAAGTTATCAACTGATTCTACTCCATAATAACTTTGACATATTTTGTTTAATCCACAGAGTAAAACAACAACTACCTACACATTGGCAGATATTAAACAAAAAGAGTAAAATTTCGAATTATACTAATCACAGGAAGTAAGGGATTTAAATGTCTGTCCAATAATGTCTTTTTTACAAATATAATAATTAAATATTTAAATTAATGCTTATTGTAGGAAGATCCTGTAGGTGTGTAAATAGATAAATCCTGTCCGGACACGGTCACCAGACATCACAATTTACATACGGGTTAAAAGGAAACATATTCTTGAATACTTCCTCTAACCACGGGATCGAAAGGCTAGAGATGACTTTGGACTGGAATACTGCCGTGACGGGGCTCAATTTACCACGGGTTTTCTCCTTCAGATACGGCTGACTGTACACAAGGCAATGAGGGCCGATGTTTGCGGACCCTCTTGATGTCAGATTCACACAATTTATTGTCAGCAAGACTTGAAGCCTGCAGAGTTTTGTTCCAATGTGCCTGAGGGACAAGTCGGTCACTCTCTGGCAATTGCTGATATCCAAGAGAAGAAGCTGTGGCATGTGAGCACACATCTCTAACACACCATCATCTGTGATGGCCGTTTTTATCAAAGAAAGGAAGATCACATTCTTGCAGCTTTGAGAAATGTATCTCAAGCCAGTATCACCAATCCTGCTGTTGAAAGGAAGGAATAAATTTTCAAGCTGAGAGCAACGTTCTGCCAACACTTTCACTGAATCATTTGAAAAATCAAGCCCCAAAGCACACAGACACCTCAGCGATTTAAGCCTCACTATGTGATCTACGATTTCCACACCAGACATGACTTCGTTGTAGTTGATGATCAAGGTGTTGAGTGATGCCATCCTGCCATACCCGAGGCATTCAACAGATAAACTTGTGAGTTTTGAGCAGTGTTCTATATTCAGTGTATGTAGAGTTGACAACACTGGGGCATCATCAGAGCATAGAATCTCTCCTGATTCCAAAAGCGTTAAACCACAGACGTATGCCAACCCTTCATCTGTGAAGGTATTGTTGCAAGCTAAATCAAGATGCATAAGACCTGTTAATTTTGCTACTTCCTTCAGACATGTATTATTCACATGCAAACATGAACGCAGAGAAAGTCTTCTTAACGAAGGCATCGAAACTCTCACTGCCTTTATAACTGAACTGTCAACAATTGAGTTGTTTTTTATGTCAAGGGTTTGAAGGTGAATCAGGCGCAAACTCTTGAAGCCGTTGGTGACAATTTCAGAGCAGAATCTTGGGTCGAGTTCAAACTCCAAGTGCCGAAGCTGCGGCATGTGGGTGTTGAGAGATTCCATGTCACTTTTGAAACTTCCATTTAGCTCACACTGCAGCGATAACTTCACTATTCCACGGTCATGAAGAGCTGTGAACAAATTCGCTGGCCACGGCAGGGTATAAAATTGTGATCCAGGTAATTTACGTTTTCTGGTTCTGTTCCTCACCGTGTGTGAGCTTGGTGCATATTTGGAAACATCGGCATCAGAAAATCGCTTTGTCTTGCCACCATGTTCTCTAAGACCCAGGCAGGTTTTAGCCAGGGTGCTCCTCCAGAGAGTCTTGGAGTAAACCACATCTCTCCATTTCTTACATACTTGTGCTGCCTTTATTTTGGATTGAGTCTCTAGGAAACTAAAAATATGTAGCAATATATCATATGGCAATTCATGGACATGCCTTCTAAATGTCTTCTCAAGATGACAAAGATGAAAATGGTGGGATGGCGGCATTATGACCAGTAAATTTCCTCAAGTTGTCTTTTGAATATAATCTGAAAAGATATTTTTAATAATGTTTTACAAGTCTGAATAAAATTCTGTAGAAAAAAAATTTTCAATCCAATTTTAGATTTAACATCAAAAAGGGGGATCAGTGTCTTGAAATATGAGTGGGGATCATTGTCTTGTAACAGATTACAGGTCTTTAATTTGCCCATGTTTTGATTTGCAGACAATGCAGTTTTTTTTTTTTTATAAAAAAGCTTAAATAGTTTATCCCTTTTTAAGATTCAATTTTAAAATGATTCTATCCAATGAAAAGACATTTGAAAATTTAACGGAAATTGAAATAAAAAACACAAAGTAAATATATAACACTAATACTAATAGTCCAAGTAATACATACCGGTATAAAATATTGTTTTATTATTTGGACAGGTTATTACTGACCAAAAAAATTTCAAATAGTAATTTCAAATTTTTAAACTCATTTGCTCAATTTGCTGAAATAAACAGAATTTTGTATAGCACTATTTACTAGTGTTTATATTGAAAGTTCAAAGTGGGTGGACTGTTAACATACAGTTAGGCTCTTCCTTTAGAAAACACTAAAATAAAAGTACCGTGAATCAGGGTTTTACATATGCCTACCACTAGCATACTGTGATTATCAGCTTAAAATGAAATTTCTAAAATAATGAGGTTAGACCTATTCCATCCCTCCCTGTGGCGCTACAGCCCATGTAGGGCTTTGGCCTGCCTCACCACTTCCTTCCAATCAGACCTAACTAATGCCTTTCTTTTCCATGCTTGACTTTCAGCTGTTGTAGATCTTTTTCCACATCATCCATCCATCTAAGCCTAGGTCTGCCTTTCAGCCTTTTTCTTCTGGGGTATTGGTGATGCACCCTCTTCGTTCCTCTGTCATTTGGCATTCTCTCTAAGTGCCCTGCCCAGCGTACCCTGCTTCTTTTTATTTCTGCTACTACTGTGGGATCCTGATATAGACTGTACAATTCATGGTTGGTTCGTATTCTCCATCCATATTCATCCTTTGTTGGACCATATCTTCCTGAGAACTTTCCTCTCCCATGTGTTTAATAGGTTTTCTGCTGTTTTTGTAAGGGTCCAAGTTTCACTTGCATATGTTACAACTGGTCTGATCACAGTTTTATAATTAGTTTTCTTTATTTCTCTTGTAATGTTTTTACTTTAGAGTATTTTCTGACTACTGAAGTATGCCCTGTTTCCGGCTGATATTCTTTCTTTAATCTCTGTTAGTAATTTGTTTCTTTCATTCAACAAAGATCCTAGGTGAATTGATTTACTTTTTCAAAAGTCTGGTTCCTAATTGTAATTGCTTCATCTGTTTGTTCTTCTCTTATCATGGTCATGTATTTTGTTTTTGGTTGTTAACTTCCAGCCCTGCTTGTAGTGATGCGTCTTCTAATTCAATAAAGGATTTTGATATGTCTTTAATACTTTTCCCTAGCAGTGCTATGTCATCAGCATATGCAAGATATTGAAGTGGTTGGTTGTAGAGTGTGCCTGTTGGTTGTGGGCCTTGAGTTTCCCTCAGAAAGTATCCTGTTATCGTTCCTCTAGTGTCAATGTGTATGTTTCTAATAACTCTCTCCAATGTTAGGTTAAAAAGCATACAAGACAGTGAGGCTCCCTGTCTTAGGCCTCGCCTAATCTGAAATTCCCTTGAATATTCTCCTTGAATCTTGATTTTGCTTTTTGAGTTGTTAGTGTTACATGTATTAGTCTTGTCAGTTTGTTGGGTATGGTATCCCAAACTCCTGCAGAGTCTCATAGAGATATTTTCTTTTGATGCTGTCATAGGCCATTTTATAGTCCACATAAAGTTGATGTACTGGTAAATTATATTCACAGCACTTCTCTAAAAGGCATCTGATGGTGAAAATCTGAGCAGTCATTGATCTGTTAGGCCTGAATCCACATTGGTAATCACCTCGTATTTCTTCAGTGTAAGGTTGTAGTCTTTTGGCAATAAGCTTCATCAGTATTTTGTATGTAACATTTAATAGGGAGATTCCTCTGTAGTTTTTGCACTGAAGTTTGGAGCCTTTTTTGTGTTTTGGGGTTATTAATGCTGTTTCCCATTCTGTTGGGATTTTGTCTTCTTGCCAAATTTTAGATATAAGTTTATGTATCTGAGTGTGTAGTTCTCTTAGACCTAACATTTCTATTTAAATTGATGCAGGCTGGCTCCCAAGAAATGTAAGTACTCAAAAGAAAAAATTTCAAAGGCCCTCATATTAAATAACATTTTTTAAAAAAATATTGTCATAGTAGGACTCCTACTCCTAGACCTGTTACTATTAATTATGTTGTAGAGAACTCATTATAAATTTCAGGAGTCTATAATAGCTTTCCATTTATGATTCGAAGTGTCTACATGTCCGACGACTGGAAGAAAAAGTTCTCAAGAAATTTGTCCGGCTAACAGGTCACATGACCACACTAACAAGATATCTGTTCATCAGCCTTGTCACGTGACCGCTAATAGTCGATCATAGAAGATGCATGGGGCGACGAGTATACACTTTATTTCAAGAAATATGGGGGGGGGGGGGGGGTGGAAACAATGCATATTAGAAGGAAGAGTGTGATAAATAATTAAGGCGAGGAGGTCCAAAGTTCACAAAGAAATAAACCCCATATTCATATCGTAAAATAGGGCCAATGTAGTGTGGTGTTGGGGAAGCCCACTTCTCAAGCAATATTAATAGCCTAAAATAAAACTTTTTTGACAGTAGATCTATTGACAGTTAACTGGCAAGTATTGGTATTATTTTCTTTGGTTCATTTTTTAAATATAGGCTACCAGGGAGAACTTTATAAGATATTTAAACCAAGATAACAGACTTTTTTTGGTTTAATTTTTTGCGCGACCTCTTAAATGACATGTTTGCTGGAATAATAACACATATAGTCATGCAACGGTCACGTGACTTGCCCGCCAGAAGAATATATACCACACTATTTGCCCGGTCGCCAGACGTGTAGACACTGCCTTTATGAATAGGCTGATACTTCATTTATTTTTCTATCAGGACTTCCTTGAGCAGAAAAAAGCAATTCACATTTGGTACCGGGTAACTACGAAGAAGTTTATCGAACTTAGCCTAAATCCTAAACCCTAACTTAAGCAATGACCATAATAATCATAGAATTAAGTCTAGCCTTACATTCCAAATCCAGATGACATATAATCAATTGTAAGTAACTTATGCTTAAATTCGTTAGTGCCAGTTATAGTAGATTATAGGGTGTACCATAACCATGTTATTTTTAGTATCATTGATGAAAATGTGTATGAAGCCCAAGGCTACGTTTTGTAAAACAAAAAAATTCAAACACAAGCCATTACAATATTATTGGCATTTCATCTCATCTCTGTTGTACAAGGCCCTCCATTATTCACTACTGTAAAAAAAAAATTATATTGGCCCCATCAATCATTGTGACTGCATCTTTGTCATATTTTAACATTAACATAAATGCTTGAGGGGCTTGACTTTGTTACCCTACATTTGACTTCTTTCTTTGATGGTTAAGAACTATTAAGAAGCCTTCATTCATATTAATTTAGTATTAGGCCCATGGATATTGTATATTGAATTGGGTAGGCAAATAAATACTGGCTATAATTTAGCATATTACATATTAATTTACTATCTACTTCTAATTTTCTATATATTAAGGACCCACGATCAATGTATCGATCATTCAGGCTCCTATCTATCAATCTATGTAGAGGGGATTTGCAATGTTTCTGTGCCTGATTGAAAAAGATATTTCACTGGGTGGCTGGTCGCAAGGGCTACCCAGCGAGGGTATCATGAACTGGAGGTTGGAAAGCCTGAGGCTATAAACACAAATGTGTCAAGTGTTGTCACCTCAGCCCTTCCTTTTGGAAGCTACCTAGCCTACTCCATTAGCCATTGAGTTAATTAACTGACTTAAAATCTTATTTACATTTAGGCCGTAATTAAAAATCCGTCTTCGGTTGTCCCTTTCAATTTCAATTACTAATTTTGTAATTGAGGCAAATTAATCTAATACCTACTTGCATTACTGAGAACATAATATAGTCAGGATAATATAAAGTTTTTAAAAAAATACCTACAGACAGTATAGATAATAGAAATTATAGCTTATAAGCTGATACAGGTAAGCCACATGATGATTTACAGACGACACCTAGCTTTTGAAAAATGATTTTGGCGAGAGTCACATCCCTTAATTAGACCTCGATATAACTTATATTAAAAAAGAGTTATACAATCAGAATTACGGCTAACGTACTATGTTTAGCAAAAAATTCTAGATAAACGTTAAATTATTTTTAAAAATTAACTTTTATTTTTTTTTAATATATATGTAATTTGTTTAAAAAGGCATGTCACTAAGACTAGTACAATGTTTAATTAAGCCTCTGTTGTATAATATCGTTCTTTTTAAGCTTAAATATTTTAAAAATAAATGCTAAATGTATGAGATTTTATTAATTGGATTAATTTTATTTTCATTTTAAATAATTTAATAATAATAATAAAGTTTATTTGAAAAACACGCTTCATCCCCAAAGGCTCGAAACGCGGTACAAAGTCAACCATGTTTAAAATTCTATAATTTACCACATTTAAAACAAACGCAACACTACAAAAACTAATAACAAGCATACCAAGACAAAGTCTTTCTACCCATTTCAACCATAAGCAAGACAGCCAATATGCCTTAAATGGAAAATATGGTAGACAACATCATCCCAGAAGGTGTTGCGAAATAGATGTGTCATGTGGTTTAATGTGCTGTGGTCATGATGTCCTTTATTAATTACGTCATGTTGTCGTGATGTCCTGTAGTTGTGCTGTTCTGTGGTTACAATGTTCTGTGGTCGTGAAGCAATGTGGTAATTGTGTCTTATG